ACACGAATTACAAAACGAGTTTTTATATCTCCAATATCTCCAAAACTGTTGATATCATCTGTAGTACAGATATCGTCCTGTAAAAATCTGCCTCAGTTCTGCTTTCATTTCTGAGTAGCGGTATGACTTCATCTTGATACATGAGTTTTGCACAGTCTAAGTTCACAATGATCAAAAATGCCTAACTTTCAGCTAAGCCAAAATTTTATAAACAGAAAACAATGACCTGTGCCCCGATAACAAAATTCTCAACAAGGTTCCAGTTATCCAGTTACACAACACGAACCGCATTAGATATCAATGAAAAGAGCCCAAATTTGGAAAATCAAGTTACACAACAAGAAACGCATTAGATATCAATGTAACGAGCCAAAATTTGGAAAATTCATTTACACAACACGAAACGCATTAGATGTCAATGTAACGAGCCAAAATTTGGAAAATCAAGTTACACAACAAGAAACGCATTAGATATCAATGTAACGAGCCAAAATTTGGAAAATTCATTTACACAACACGAAACGCATTAGATGTCAATGTAACGAGCCAAAATTTGGAAAATTCATTTACACAACACGAAACGCATTAGATGTCAATGTAACGAGCCAAAATTTGGAAAATTCATTTACACAACACGAAACGCATTAGATGTCAATGTAACGAGCCAAAATTTGGAAAATTCATTTACACAACACGTAACGCATTAGATATCAATGTAACGAGCCAAAATTTGGAAAATTCATTTACACAACACGAAACGCATTAGATGTCAATGTAACGAGCCAAAATTTGGAAAATTCATTTACACAACACGTAACGCATTAGATGTCAATGTAACGAGCCAAAATTTGGAAAATTCATTTACACAACACGTAACGCATTATATATCAATGTAACGAGCCAAAATTTGGAAAATTCATTTACACAACACGTAACGCATTAGATATCAATGTAACGAGCCAAAATTTGGAAAATTCATTTACACAACACGTAACGCATTAGATATCAATGTAACGAGCCAAAATTTGGAAAATTCATTTACACAACACGTAACGCATTAGATATCAATGTAACGAGCCAAAATTTGGAAAATTCATTTACACAACACGAAACGCATTAGATATCAATGTAACGAGCCAAAATTTAGAATTCTCAAAAAAATTTCTGCTACTCCAGTGTTAAAGCTTGGAATGAAATTCAACTGGAGGTTAGGAATATTCCTACCTCTTTCGGATTCGAGAAAAGGTGAAAACTATGTTAAACGATCTCTACGAAGAACAGCTCTGTAAAACTTGCTTCGATATAGGCAGCTGTTTCTTCGAATAATGTAGGTCTTAGAATCTGGCAAAAAGATGAAAAGACTTCAACTTTTGAAGCATCACCATGAAAACATAGACTCCTACGTTTTTCCGACATAAAACAGCACTATACGCAAAAGATGGATGAATTGATGAATAACAAAAAAGTTCGCATGCCCTTATGATGTTTCAGAGACGCCCAAATAAACTCAATTTTTAAACTTTAAATTTGCATAACAAAGAAAATCATTAAGAAAGTTACAAAAAACTACTTCCAAAACTGAGAAACACAATAGGCGAAGTCAATACTTTGTCATCACTCCTTGACTTTCAATAACAGCGGCAAGACTTGTTTCATTGAATTTGGCGAATTCTTGTTGAGTTGCTTTTTCATGTAGCCTCACACGTGTTCAACTGGGTTAAGATCTTAACTTTGCAATGCCCACATAAAACTCTTCGCAACTGAAAAATAGCATTGCATATCTAGCTGAGTCTGGTCTTGCATTGCCATGCTGGATTATAACTGTCATACTGTATCAAAGCACTTTTTCACCGACAGAGGTAGGTTGTTGTCCATTATTTGATGGCTTCAATGTTTCCATCAACAACCAACAACTTGCTAAAAGGATGGGTACTAATATATTCCCAGACCATCACTGATTGATCCCTCATAAACAATGACAAGAAAAAATTTGGATCGTTCTTTTCCGCTGCCTTTCTCCAAACTCTTTGTTTTCCAGCATCAATTTGCAGCTCAAACCTACACCCAGCGGAAAAGGTAACGTTAGCCAAGTCCTCTTTAGCACATCAGTTAACAGCTTTTACCAACTGTACTCAGTGTGAGTGAGTAAAAGGGGCAAATTAATTACTACAAAAATGTGAGTTGTTTTTAAAGTCCAGAAGGATATAAGGTTCCAAGTTGAAAAATGGTGCATTTTACCAATGACGTTTCTCTTGCACTGTCCGTTGGAGATATTTTATCATCTTGTGAGTGATTTAGCAGATTAAAATGTATGGAGATGTTACTGTCAGGATCATTGTCATATTTGCTGCTTAGTTGGGTCTTGTCTCTGACATTCCGCAAATTCTCACCAAGTATGTTGTTGTTAATGTTTCATTAATTTAAAGGACATTACATTGGATGCGAGAGATGCAAAAGATGACACATGAAGAAGAACAGGTGAAGCTGGATTTTACTGTTAATGACTTGCTTCCTTTAGAAATAGCTGTTGTTGAGTTTACGTGGGTGCAGCTTTGACAAACGAGATGGAGAGATATCAAGAGAATCAGGCAAACGATGGTTGCTGCATACAAGCATGATACAAGGTAGTCTCTGACTATATCTTTGATGTGTGTGTATCTGTCTTTGGTGCTTTTTATCCCTTTTGAAGGCCATCAATAGTGGAACTTTAAAAATTTCCTTGTTCACTGAGTCCTTGGTCCTCGTAAAAAACAAACGACAAGACTGACAGGTATAGTGAGGAGAACTGGAATTGAAATATCAAATGACTACATGACTTTATGGCAGTCATTTTGCCAAGCAATTGGTTTACATGTCTATTAGCAAGGAATTAAACCATTGAAGTAAGAGATAGAAAATTCTGCTAGAAAAGTGCTAGAAAATTCAAGGGTATTTGTATGTAACATAGCTTATCATTGGAAAAAAAGTCCTGATTATAAATGAAAAGTCTCGGTTTAGTCTCGTCTTTCTACACGCAGCTATCTCGACGTCTTCACAACACGGTCGTCGTGGAATTTTATTCCTTGAGACCTTTTATGAAAACTGTTTCAAAGAGCATCTTTAGATGCCTTTTGAACTTTGAACGTATCTTTGAACACGCAGACGTAACCTATGGTCTCCAAATTCCATGGCATGGAAAATTGTATCCTCTCCTCCTCATGACTATCAATATACATCGCCACGGGTTTACCATGGCTTAAAGCCGGGCATGAACCAGGAACTTGATTTTAATCTCATTTCATGAATTCGGCCTGTGCAATGTTAAATACTAATATAAAGGAGTCTGGGTCTGTTCATTTTCAAAATGCGCGCGAAATTATTGTGCTGACGACATTTCTCGTAGCTTCTTTCTATCTATTGACCTCCTTTTCAGATTGCCGTAATCCCAGATGTTAACCAACTCTTTTATGTCGTACATCCAAGTTTTTTTTGCCTTAGACGTTAGCCTTTACCTTCGATAAACCCCTCCGTGATGTTACCGAAAACCAAACCACTGGATCCTCTTGCAACATGACCAAAAAGCGCAGCTTTTCTTTTCACAATGATGTTAAGCAGCTTAGGGGTTGTATTCATCTTTTGTAATACTTTTTTATTTCTGATTCTATCCGTCCATTTGATCTTTAGCATACTTTTATAGCACCATAGCTCAAAAGCCTGTACTTTATCTTTCATGGGTTTTCCGATGGTCCAGGCTTCATATCCGTAGGTAAAGACCGACCATACATAGGTCTTGAGTACATTTAGTTTCGTCTCACGGTTGATGTTACTGTTGAAGAGGTCTTGATGACGTTGAAATGCAATCCTCGTAGCTACTTTTTGCTAATTTTCACCGTTTTTATTAGTTTATTAAAAGCTAGCGAACAAGATTTTAAAAGTGAACGAAATGTAAACGAAATGCACCTCAATATTCTTGGCCATTCTATCGGTCGGATTTTTTAACCAAAACCAAACAAAATCCCATGTTTCTTCGTCCCTTCAAAGACGAATATTCGTTGAAACCCAAACAATAGCTTGCACAATTTTCATTCACGGGGGTTTTTATCGGAAGCACTTTTATTGGCCTTATTGCGTCTTTGATTGCTCCCTGTTATGATGCTCGACAATTTATGAGTTGCCTGCAGTAATGTTGCTCGTTTAGAAAGAAAGAAAAGCCGATAAGACTGTCTTTACACAAGCATGTAGATTAAACAACAAAGAATGTGTTTGTAGTACGTTGACTTTATTAGGAAGTACTAAGAAGCTAGGGAAAACAATTTTTACTGGAATTGTTTCATTAGGGGCGACATGACTCTTGGTTTGGTAGGAGGCTTTACTGAGCGTTTGTAGTAGTTTTAGAAGACGTTACATACAAACCCGGTCATATAGCTCGCGAAAATCAAAATGACAGGTAAAGTGTTCTAAAGTCTGTGGTCAAAGAAATCTATAACGTGAAATAACTCTGAGTAAGGATGGAGTAAAAATTTTTGAAAACCGGATAAGACATTGCCAATAAAAGACTTTGCTAACGGATTACTGTTGTTTTGACTGCGTTCATAAAGTTATAAGCAGAGACCAACTAACATGTGGCCATATCTCCGTCAAATTCTAGCACATTTGGCTGATTTTGCATATTAAGAGGTATTTTATGAGGCGTTTTTTAGGTTCTGCTGTCCACATTTAAAACATATAAATCGTCTTCACCTTACTCTCAGTGCCATTTTTTTAGAAAGAAGTTACCTACAATCGAGGTATCAAAAGAAGAATAAGCCTGGTAATCTGAAAGTGGATGATACACTTCTTCAACTTAGATATGAAACTTTTTCAGATGTGGATTCAAACTTTTTCAAAATTAACTCAGGGTGACATGACGTGAAGATCTGTGCAGGAAGCGAGATCCAAAGAATGGTATGTGATGACAAACTAGAAGCGTGTTTTATTTCATCATATTTTTCCTTTCTGAAAATAAGAATGCGAATACATACCCTTATTTTAATTGATGGTGCTGCAATAACTTCGTCTGGCGAATCAGGTTCATATTTTATACAACTCTCGCGAACAAATATCAAACCTTGTCAAGGAAAATAATATGAATTTAAAATATCAATGAAGCAAGTATTCCATACATAAATGACGTTTAAGAAATCTAAAAAATTCATCTCTTGAAATGAGGCTATTTGACAACAAGACAATAATGTGAAAACTTATTGTAAACAGACAGCATTCTATAGAATTTAATGACTGGCGCGAAAAAAACAGCCAAACCCCCTTTCTAAAGCTATCGAATGTCTAAATTTGGCCATAAAGCAAAGGTAGTATTATACTGTGGGTGAGTCTAATTATATCGGAATTCGTTATCCTGGGTCCTTTTTTACTTTTAAGGAAACGTTTTGACAGAACAGCAGACGGGGATTTTATGAATAAATTGTAAAATGACAGTCTATTTAGGATAGATTCTTTGCCCCTAGTCAGAATCAAGGCCCACAAGAAGTTACTGAACAGGGGAAAAATTGGTTACATCAGTCCAGAGAAAATTTATTGTTGATTTGCAAACTAAAGCGTTATTTAAATTCGATTGAGAATGAGATTTCTTTGTCATCTAAAAATAATAAAGCTGATAATCAATATTTCACTCAAGCCATAGAACGTGATATATATTCCATTGAAATTATTCAATTGTAGTAATAAAATGTTGGTGAAAGATTGCATGGAAAAAATTGAACAGAGCCCTGGCTTGAGAGATGCTAGATAATGGAAGTGATGAAGAAGAATTATATAAAGAAAAAAAGCAAAAAGACAAAAGGGAAGAAACATAATAACATATAAAAAAGAAAGTAGAAAAAGAAAAAGTTAAAGAGAAGAAGAAGAAAAGATGGGAAAGAGAAAAAAGGAAGAATGGTGGCAAAAAGAAGATGATGCAGTAGGAAACGTAGAACAAGAACAACAGAAAGAAAAAAACAAAGCATAATAATAAGAAGAAAAGTAGAAAAAAAGATTAAGGTTAAGAAAAAAGAGAAGAACAAGTGGAAGAATGGGAGAAGATGACATGGGAGAAAACATACAGAATTGGGAGAAAAAAGGAGGAGAGGAGGAAGTGAAGTAGTAGAGCAAAGGAATTAAAAAAGAAATAAGAAAAAGAATATGAAAAAATGTGTGCCTCACTTCAATATCAATTACAATTCAATATCATTACTAAATGGGCAAAATCATCATGATAATGTTTCTCTCTAGTCTCTAGACTCTCTAGTCGTTTTCTCAGCACAATTTTTTCCTAAAATATAATTTTCAAGTTTTTCACAATCTTTACCAGTTTGTGTTTTACATGTACAATTACCAGTAACTCAATTGATATGTTGTTTGTCCATAAAATCTTAAAAATTATTTTAAGAAAGAGTTATGTTTTTGAACAAATCAGCAGAGATCAATCATCAAAACGTGCCAAGATAGATAGGCTTGGAAAGTAATGACAGCCCACATGATGCAACATTAAGAATAAGCAATAATTTGTAATTTCAAAAATGGAACTTCAAAATAGGCAAATTGATTGGTTATTCTATGGGTTTGCTACTTTCACCCAAATTTTCTAATAAAAGCTATTACTTTAAAATATATTAGGATTATTATTGCTATCTAAAGCTTACTTGTAGTCACTTTTTATGAAAGCTAATTGGACAATGGTTACTAAAGAGAACTTGCTAACCATGCTGCTTGATATGAGATTTGTTTAATTGTCATACTAGGCCGGTTATATTTAATGAACATTCAAATATATTTGTAATTACGTTCAATCAGAGCTCCAGAGAAATTTAACAATTACAATGTAATGAACAGTCACAGCCTAGTAAAGAAAGGATTCCAGCAGTGGGTGTGAGAAGTAATTTTATTTACTGTTGCGAGTGCACCTGGATTGGTTTTTGTTTTTATCAATCTCTGTTTATATTGATACGGGTAAATTATTTGAGGGAATTACTTTGAGAGCCCTTTCTCTAAGAAGTTCTCTGCATTGCCAATTCCCTTTTAAACTTCCTATTCTGTTGGCTTGTGTGCTCTTCTTGGGAAAACTTTGCTCTGATGCGAATGCTTTAACTATTCTAGCAAGATTTGCAGGTAACAAATTTCTGGCCAGCTAATTCAAATACTAATCTGCAGAATATGGTACTTCTCACAGAAGCATACCCAGACTGGGAATTGCAGCCTTTGGCAGGCTTTCTTCTTGCTCCATAAAACAAATTCCTAAGAAACTAAACTCTGATTCAGACTCAAAAGAAGACTGCATTGAGAGCATCTCTAGAGGAGTCTTAAGCAAAAAATTCAATTGGAAAACAAAAAGGCACCAGATTATGAAACACAAAACATTAACCCTCAGAAGATGTTTAGATTATTACAAATATATCATTCTTGTTTTTATCAGCCCCAATCATTAATCATTTGAAGGACTTGATCACTATCACTATTGGTTTCACTGCAACAAGGAGGACATTTTTAGACAATTTCATCATTACAAAACAAAAGCATCATTACAAGAGATCCATATCAACACGAAAAATTGGTTCACACAAAACACAACACCATTAGTTTCAATGCGTAAACACAAAACAAATATGGTATGATGACCAAAGTATCAGAGGATGTAGTGCTATTATAAGAAAAAGGGGGCTCTCACACAAACATTTGCAAAAAATGTGCAAAAGTTTAAACTGGCTCTTTTGTCATGGGGACTTAACTCCCATAGCAGACCTTAACCCCTTGCCCTTCGGTATGATATTCTGTTGTATTTATTAATATACAGTGTCATATGAACAGTTCTTAGGCCACATCTAAAAACAAAAGTTTTCCAAAGATTGAGTTTACATCTAAATGAAAGCAAATGGAAAGTTTTAAATTTTCCCAGAACCCCTGCTGTTTGCCTCTTCTTTGCCCCTCCAACCTTTAACCCTGGCTATGCCCTGTTTTGTAGGAGTAGACTTGAAAGAAACCAGATATAAACTTGAGTATAATCTGATGTGCAAATCTTATAAATAATAATATTGTGGTCATTCAAAAAGACGATTTAAAAGACAGAAAAGAGAGTGTATAGTTTAGTATATCACCTAAATGGAGCAATGACACAACATGTGTTTAACACCTCTCACCCATAAAAGGGGCATGTTTTCAAGCTTTGCAGAAAAGTGGGGGGACATGTGGCCCCTAGGCCCCTGGCTCCTATGCCACTGGGCAATATTGTTTTACGATTCTAGGGGTTAAATAATCATTCTCAATTGGTGGCTTAGAAGGTGCTGGCAAGTAAATAATTTTAGGCAGGTTTTCTGCATGCAAACCACCAGTCTGCAGAGCATGGCAGTTCTTGACAAGATCTTTTGTGTGCAAGAGCAAATATAAATGTGTGCATGTGTGCAAGAATGCTGACAAAGTGTGCAATGTAGACACACTTTTCAGTTTTGATCCAATCTGAAATTTAAATTACTTTGACCCCCTCCGTGTAGTTAGTCAAACTTCCAAGTAGGGGTATGGGATTGAAATGTAACCCCTTAAAAGTCCACTCAGTCAGTTGATTTAAAAATAATTCAGTCCACAGAATGATCTCTAAAGAGCAAATACTTGACCCTATAATCATGCTTCAGTACAAGTCAGATACTGTAGTTATTCCAAAAATCTTAGCATAGGTCATTTCAAAATATAAAATCAAAATACTGAGATATAAGATGGCTCCAGGGCTATTCTGCAGTATTCTATAAGGTGTGGCCCTTAAAATTTTCCTGGGAGGAGTACCCTTAGACCCCCCCTCCCCCTTCTTCAAACTTTACAAAGCTTTCAGATTTCATTGAGCAACCCTGACAGGCTGTGCCTCATATTTCACTCAATGTAATTGCATGCCAGAGTATTTCAAATCAGAAGGAGAGTATAATCTAGAGAAACTCAATCTGCTCGCAAAATGCACATATCAAAAGTGGTACATGTTCTCTAATTTAATTACAGGCAGCAACTTTTTCAACCTGTGACAATCAGATGGTTCTGATCAGTGGCGAAGCCAAAGGTCCTGCTGGTCCTGCTGAGCAGGATCAAGAATTTCCAAAAATAAGATTTACTGTAAACAATAAACAATTTCTTCTTTGCAAAAAGGAAGTTTCAAAGTCTATTTGATAAACAGTCCCCAGTTCCGCCAGCTGATACAGGCATCCCGTGCTAATCTCAAGGTCCTGTTCTCTTCTACGGCAGCCCTGTATTTTGGTCCTGCTCATAACTATGATACCCTATGTTTGGTCCTGCTTCACAATGGGCTTTTGTGAATTTAGTCCTGCTTCACAATAGTCTAGAACAAAGAGCAGTCCTGCTCAATCTCGGGAGCAGGACCTCGTCGACATAATCATCATAACATTTCGTAAGCAGTAGTGATTTGATTGGTTGAGGGTTCACTTACATAGGTCAAAAGGTATTGTTTTGGAAACCTTTGGTCCTGCTATTTCTGAGAGCAGGACTGCAAGAATTGCCCTGTGCATTCTCGTTCTGCTATGAGACACTAGCAAGGAGGCCAGTTCAAGTATTATGGCGAGGCGATGTGAATGTGGATTTCCTGCTTGCTTTGGCAATACCAATGATATTATTATTGACAGCAAAACTTGCCTCAGTTGAGCTGCATAAATTTTATTTGTAACAAGACAGAGTCCAAAGTTCATGAGAAAGAAATGGTAAACAGCAAGGATTGGCTGTATGGGGCACACTGATTTCGGCCTTCATACGATCGTTTAAGGCACGGTATATCATGGTGGCCTAAACGAATAAGATTTTCTTAGACTTGGACAAGGACGATAAAAGCATAATTGAATTTACTGTTGTGTGATTGAAATTTTGGAGTTGGAGAATAAACCAATTTCAGCGGAATTTGCATTTGTAAGAGATTAACGGGCGACTGATTGCTATGTTGAATACCGATGAACTGAATGCTGAACTGCTATATGAAAGTGTATTTTACTACCTGAATTGTTTACTCATCTAATGGTTTGGCTAATGAAGTTGTTTTCATTGATAATGCGACACATTATTCGATGGTACCTCTCTTTGTCAGCTGCAGAATAATTGTTCAGCAGAATTTGTGAACTTGCCCCTACAGACTTTAAACTCTGTTGTTTATTAAAATTATTATAATAGAGTATCTAGATTGGTCAGGTATTTTAATAGAGTGTCTAGATTGATCTAGATTGGACCAAAATCTTGAATAGTCTAATGAGACTATTTCAACTACCACAAATATATGATATGCAACTTCAAATGCCACCCCTACCCCCTTTCATTGTCAAATTTAGTTATCATCAATTTGAACTTTTACTTCAGCTGTAGAGGCTTACTACAATTTAACATAGATTTGTTTGAAAAGTAAGCACCCTAAAGCACGTCTTTAAGTATGGGTTTATTTTTCAAAAGATAGACATTGATTTAAAATTTGCTTTTTACTGCAAAAAAGTTCATCTACAAAAAATAATTTTTGTTCATAGGCGTTTCCTATTGAATAAGGGCGTGGCCCTATACATACAGCAGGACCAACAATTTTTGGCTAGCTTCGCCACTGGTTCTGATGTTGACCAACACAAGTTACTGTTGTTTTGCGAATACTAAAATTCCAATTTATCAGCATTTCAAAATTCCAAAGAAAATGTTGCTCAGACCAAGATAGGAAAGCAACGTTCCAAAAAGGGTGGTCCTTAAAAATTTTACAGTACCCAGAAAAATGTGTGTTCAACACTATGATTTTGTGTACATTAGACAAGCCTCTGAAAAAATCTTGTGTGTGCACATGCCACAATCTGCAGACTGGCAAACCACCTTTAAACAATCAAGTATCAAGTGGTGTGCAAACAGGGTTTTTCCACATTGTATATTCAGCGTGCTGTTTAATTTCAATTCCGTTCAAAGAGCGGTTTACCTTAAAACTGCACAGCAGACCGTTAAGCATTTGCAATTTTTTTAATCTAGGCCTACCTACACTCTCCCAAAAAAGCTACAGGAAAATTTTTGAAATACCTTGAATTCAAGAAACTTTTAGTAAATTTCAGACTCTTTTTCCACAATCAGAAGTTATTTACACTCAGGTTCTTGCGACATTCCCAACAACAGAATAGAGATCTGTGCCTTTACTTTCTGTGTCAGCCATTGAATTTTGTCGTTTGGTGTCGCTATCAGGGATTTCCCGCCATTATTCACTAAACGCAAGCGAGGCTCAATACAAATGGAAGATCAATAACTGTCAGCATGTCGAATGAGGCAATAAATCAAATAAATATAGAAAAAAACGACCAAGTATTAATATGAAAAAATTAAAATTGTTACAACGTTTTGTGCATAGCTGATGTAGGGTTATGCTCGAGCCTTGCCAACAATATTTATGTTTTCCATCTGAAATATTGTATTTCCGTAGGGCAGTTTACTCAAATAAAGCATTCAGTTTTAAGCTAATTTTTATCGAAAAAACGTGAAAAATGCCAGTTATAATAAGCAAATATAGGCAAGGAGGAAAGGGAAAGAAGGAAATAATTAAATTTTAATTTAAAATCGAAGATAACAGTGGAGGGGGTTTTGGGTTATGGCTCAACAGAATGGTTTTCTTTGTAAATTGGGATTTATTCGGCGAGAGCTTTATATAATTTATTATTTTGACATCATTCGTCATGACAAATTTATGTTTTTAGTTGGTTCTATAAGCTTTTCGAATATGGTTTCCGGCGTTTGCTTGTGTCAGCCACGTAGCTGCAGGAGGGGCACGGGGGGCTGTGAATTTTTTATAACGACTTGCCCCCTCTGGCTACAGTTTTTCCGAATGATATTTTGAAAATTTGGCACAATTATAATTCCGTGAGCTTAATTTAGTCCAAATATACCTGTTTGTTATATATCTGTTTTCTTGTTTTAAAGCCTGCCCCCCTCAGGTATCGCTCTTGCTCTAGTTTGCCCACCCTAGCCGACATCTACAGCTACGTGGTTGTGGTGTTTTTAGGTGTTCTGCTTGTATTTGAGTCAATAACGATAAAATAAAAGTAGCCTTTTGAGGTGTCAAAGGTAAATTTAGCACACTCTGGTTAAGCGATTCTTTCAAGGAAAGAGATCTTGGATTTTTGGAAATTGGCTTCGAATGATAACTTTTCTCTTTAAAGCATGTTATTCTAGTAGCTTTTTGCACTTTTTGATAAGAGCTCTAGGAAAGAGAGATGATTTAAAGAACAGGATTTAGCTTTGTTTTTAGAGGACGATTGCAAAAGAAGGTGAGTGCGTGACACAACCCGGGCAGGACTCGAACTGACACCAGTAACTTTGTAACTCGCTACCCAGTTACGTTTTCCAAGCCCAGAGCCGGGCAACTCAAACAGCACCCCCCCCCCTTCGTTACCATATTTTGCAATCGTCCTCTAAAAAACAAAGTCATTGCCACCATCATCATTTAAGATATTTTGTAACTGGTTGCAATGCCGGGTGCTCCAACTTTTTTGACGGGCATGACTATTTTAAGAAAATTCTTTACTCGCTCTTGATCCAATTTGACGAAGTTTAAAAAAAGTCTGAAATTTGGCCTATCACCGGTTAATTCAGTGATAACATTGTTCTTTGCCTTTCTAATCTTTGCACTTGTGGTCACTGCGACAAAAATGTCAAAAATATTCCGATGAGTCAGACAGTCTACTTTCTAGAGGTCAAGGAACGTGCATATTCAACCAATCTAAGCGGATAAGACTATGATCGATATACAACAGTGTCCTTATTCCTCAGAAAATCAGAAAAATTAAAATCCTTGCAAGAAGTGTATTTATCCATTAAATTCGATGTAGCAATGAGGTTTTGGAGTTATTAACCTGTCTCCAAATAAAGGACATTTTACCACTTTATTCTGTTCATGCCTTCATCCCCCACCCCAGCTTATAGAACTGCACAGGACGATATGTTTCTATCTGATATGATATTTTCAACTTTATTTCATCAGGTTAACAAGCATGCTATTTTATTAACATGCCTGGAGCTAACAATGCGTTTAATAAATGTGGAGTGAAAGGAAGAGAACGTTTTTATTCGAAACGGCGAAGGGATATCTTGGATGTGTTATTAAAATATCGTGAAATTGATGCTAATTTCAGAGAAAGGTTGAAGAATGGCAAAGTGCGTATCTGCGAAAGACATTCTGACTCTGTTGAGTAAAGATTTTCTCGATTTCATTTTTAGCTCTTATCAAACCTCCTTGGTTTTGTCAGTCCTTGGGACACAGGCCGTTCTTCAATGAAGCTCTCCAGCAACCTTATTTTGGGCTGTTTCTTGCTTTTTCAAAAATCTGTGTTCAACCTAACCAGATAAGTATTGTAGGCAATCAAAATCTTTATCGCTCATCGGCAATGGCTTTTCTAAGGCCACTTGCTGTGGTCTCCTGAAGAAGCTGTACAATTTGTCTCCCAAATTTGTCAACAAAAAGAAGTTAAAAAAGCTGGCTGCACAATTTGGAATAAGAACATATGCAAACTGCAGAACCGTACCGTAAAAAAGTAGAAAAAACTGTTCGCCATCGCTACCGACCGATAAGACTGCATAGCATTCCATGAATTATTGTTTTAAAGAGTCCGTTAAAATGAAAAATTGGTGATGAAAAATCGCTTTTGGTAGTGCTTCTGGATAGCCGTAGCCTGTGCACAGACCCAATATTAGCAGCTATTTTGTTGCAAATCAGTTTGAGAAAACTTTACTAATTTTATAATACCTGACATATCCAATAGGTTGATAGGCCAGCTGCACTGGCAACACCTATGTCTTGCTTCTTCTTCGCTTTTTTTGAAGAAACAGCCACTTTTCTTTTTGTAGTGCTTTTTGCAAATTGCATAACTGAGTTCTCTGATACTAAGTTATCCACGTCGGGAAAAATCTCGTCGTTTAACAGTTCGTCAAGCTTTTTTCGACAAAAAACATGAAGTCTAAACTATTCGCTGGGTACACTGCCAGCTGATGCTGCGAATGCTGATTGCGTGTCAAATGCTGGGACGCTAGAGCCTGTTGTGGCTCCAAAAGCAGTAGATTTACTATCAGTTGGTAAAACTTTATTACTTTATTTCGCTACTTCTGTATTAATATTATTTCATCTTGTTATTGTTTTTGTTCTGATTTTAGTCAAATTTTAGTCATTACTTTCTGTTAAGTATTTAATCGAAATCTTAGCAGCTTCTGAATCTAAACCCTCCAATAGGACACACGGCCTCAAGATAAAATCTTGATTGACTCGATAGCTCTTTTTGAGTTTTTTCCATGTATCCTTCAGCCAACAAGTTTGCGATATAACGTCTTTAAAAGTTTTCTTATCATTGTATTAATACCCAATATTTTTCCTTTTTATATGTCAGTATAACGTGATTAACCTGCTGATGCTGTGAAAAAGATTTTGAGCTTTGAGTTTGAGTTTAAGGCTTGTCTGCGCACTTAAACATCAGCATCCGTCATTTCAAAATTTGTTTATGCACTCGTTTTGATCATGTGACCTACGAATAGGCTGGCTTCAAGTCGGCGCGCGAAACAAAAGGATAAAACAAAGGACTTTCAGACGAGAGATTTTTCTATTGCCTATGGTTTGGAACTATTAATAATTGTCCAAAATCTCCCATAAATCTCCCGTATTTAGCTGTAGTGTTTATCATAAAGTGGCTAAAGAAAATTATATTTAAGAGCAATAGCAGCAAGGCACCATTAAAATAGAATGAACATACCTAATTTTATCGAGCCATCAAAACACCAAAATATCGTAGAAAGAAATTTGGATAATTCTTGAATGGCTAGCATTAGTGTCAGTGACTCTGCAGCTTGGTAGTGTTTCTATATATATTTATTTTTCTAAAAGGCGCTTCGTAAATGTTAAGATATTTTTCTACATGTTTTATCTTTATTGTTGAAATTTTCTGCAATATTGATTATAAATCTAAACACAAGCACGTGAATTTCTATAATTTGAGGAGAAAATTAGAGGATAATACAAACACCATTGATACATTTTTTTATTTGTAAGTGTTGTGTATGTTCGCGCGATGCCTATGATCCGCTGCGACCTAACGCTAGACCTAGAGAGCACACGAGACAAGACTGTTTTCATTCCGACCCTGATCTAATCCCTGAACTCCAATCCGAGGCTAGTATAAAATGGTTTATGCCTAATACATTACAGTAAGCTACATATTTGTTGTTCCAGCAAAAAAGAATTCTGTATTGATTTCCTTGGTATTATTGAGCATAACAATTCCAAAAGCTTTTCTAGTACGTATCCTCTCGTTAAAAAAATGAAAAACCCTGCACCTTGGAAATTGGTAACTTCATAGCTAATGTTGAATTGGATTGAACAAAATCATAGTCTACATGTTATTAGCGATATTAATTAGCCTCTTGTACACCTTTCAAGGCTCCTTCTTCTTCTGATTAGCTTGGTCTTTTTTAGAGGTGTAAGAACAGCTTTCAATGACATATCATTAAAGATGTTCATAGAACGCTTTTCACAGTAGACTCTTATCTGCAGATATCGACCTGTCTTGAGACAGCTCAAACAGACATCTTTGGTAATTAATTACTAGAAACTTGGTTAGCATACGAAATTATAATTTGATGCTTTTACTTGTTGAATTGCGGAACAGAAATTATTCCATTCTAGAAGCGTCATGTTCTTTAATATTATGTAAATTACCATAATACGCTGCCAGCCTATTCTTAAGTCGTCTAAGACAGTTTTAATGGCATTGACTGCCTAAGCTGATCCAAAGTCACTTACCTCTGCTTGTGAATTAAGATTGATCTTTGAGGCAGCTTTTTAGTTAGGTTATAATCTTCAATCAGACATAAAGAAGTCCTTTGTACCTGAAAGAAAATCTGTTAATATTAAAGTGAATCTGTTTTTTTACGAGAAAATGTTATATTAGCCGCTGAAAAAAGTATGTTTCATTAACGTAAGCTGCTGTACGTCTGTAGACCAGTACACGTTTCAATCAAGACCACTGGATAAAAATTCAGAATATCAGAGTAATAATGAAAAACTATTGAAATGTGGACCATTAAACCTGTCACTGTGATTATCTTTCAAAATTGGTTCTATTTGTGATGATTCAAAATGAATACTTTTTCCATCATTATTGCTTGAAGTTACGATATTCATTCCAAAATTCATTGACTCCCCTGTCATTGGATTTCACAAGGCTTTGGTGAATTCAAGCAAACAAAATTTTTCTCGGTTAGATCGATAGACACCTCGCTATAAGCCATGAGAAGAAAGCAGCAGGGAACGATCTACCACTAATTTGGATAACTGACAAAGAAACATTGATAACGGACAGAAAGTTTGGTTCCCGCCCAATCAATTAAGCAGTGAGGTTGCAAAATGCAATGACGTAAAGAACTAATCATGGTAAATCCCTTTGAAGAAATGATATCTTAAAGTATAAGATGAATCCCATAGTGTTGATGGATATAATATGATATGATCAATTTTGATTTAATTATTCTTCATTAAACCGTCTGAAAACGTGATATTAAGATATTTACTGAGATACGTATTACCTAAAATTCTATGGTCTAGCCGTTCAATCCATTAATCTAGCAAGGGACGCTTTCAAGATTTAAATGCTTGCTCTAGATTTTCAAGATTAGGCTTGTTTGAATATTCGACATACAGAGTAGATTAAGTAGTTAAGAATACCAGCCTCTGGATTAATATCTTTTAATGCGGTGAATGAATCAATTAACCGGGTAATTTTTAGATAAAAGATAACTCTATTTCCACTCGAAGGCAGGCTGTCATTAAATCTTGAATTTCGTTCAATTATTCGCTAGTTCAATGAATTGCACAGTTTCAAGATTTAGCAGTTTAAGACGTTCGAGATTAAAGAAGATGCTGGCACCAAAGTAGTTAAAATGAAAAGATATTTAAGTTGTTAGTTGAGCATGATGATAACAGTCAAGTAGAGGCAGCCTAAGTTCTTCTTTTGGGATAATTATCATGCCTTCATGTCAAAGGCAGGTAATCCATATTCAGACGCTAAGCAAAAGCCTCTTAATCATCTCCAGACGTAAAATAAAGCTAGCACGTTAGTTGCTTATAAGCAAAAGTCTTGCCTAAATTGCCTAGTAGTGGTAAACGGGGATGATAAATGCCAATTTAAGTGAACAGTCAATGACTGTTCCATGTTCTTTGTCATATTGTGACTGCCAAAACTCCTTGAAAGTTTAATATGAAGTGTCGTATTGTATTAAATGACATCAGTCTGTTGATTTTTAGTATATCTTCAATCTTCTACAAAACCAGACACTGTTATTTTTTTGAGTAAAAGGTGAGTGAAAATGATAGTTATAGCGAAGAACAACTTGAAATATAATACCTGGTTGCAGTAGACTTTTTTTATACATGCATTTGATTATGCCAAATAAACATACCTTGAAGGCAATATTTACATTCTCGAAGGCCTTTACTTTCAATTACAGCGGACGCGCTCGAGAAAACAGTGTTTACCACTCGGTTTTTTTTTGCTTTTTCACTGGCGTTGATTGGCGAGATTTCAAAATGAAGACATTGTTTGGGCCCAGAGGAAGGTTTTTGAAGTAAAAAATTGTGGAAAACTTGCAAAGTGCAATAAAAGCAACAAATTTTTACTATTCTGAAGGAGCTGTTTGCATCAATACATGTTTCTTCTAGAAGTATTCTTACATATCACTGCTCATATTTTTTGGACCAAGATAAACGTGCGTGATGTTACGCGTACTTTAGTAAACAAAGTTTGTAGTAGCACTTCAAGATTTCTTAATTTCTTTTTCCTACTACCATGCAAGCAGCAGCAGATTATCAAAATTCTGACAATAAAAAAGAAAAAGAATATACAATTAGCAGTGGTTTGATATATTTTCCTTATCTTTTCTTATCAAGTAAAATATTTCGAATTTATTAATGTTTATGGTTTATAACTACAAACTTTGTTTTAAGCTGATCCAACTGGTTTTTGAAAAGACAGGTTCGAAAAAGCCAAGTTTTAAACATCCTGCATCATTTTCCGTAGATCAAGGTTAATGAAGTTTCTTGCCTTGATTTTTCAACAAATTAAACCATTGAGGCTAATGCTGGCTTCAGTGATACTTATTGTCTCCCCAAAGCTCTGCAAATTAAAGCACTAAAAAGCCTGGAGGCGAACGATTATTTGTGGATTCTGCCATGTGTTATCTTCTTTGTCGTTGGCATATTTACCTAGCATAGCGATCATGAGAGGAGACAGGTTTTTGACCTAGTAAATGGAATTTAGGCTTATTCTTGGTGCAAAGAGACTGCTGTTTGGTAAAAAAGACAACAATTCTCTTAATTCCTAAATTTTGGCTTTTCAATGAAGCTGTTTTTAAAACGAAGAAATGAATGGTAATAAATACCATGAAGTCAAAGATCAATTTTAGCACAATTTTAGGTAATTTCCATAACCAGATATTTATTTCTTAAGCAGAGACATTTGTATTGTTGAATCTCTCGCAATCTTCTTCTTTCGGAATGATAGACAATGCAAGTAAGTGGCACGTGATTTCAGGTTCAAGTACGGCCCTAGTCGTGTCAGTCATTCACATTTTTCTTCGCTATAATTTCTTAAATCCTTTTCTTTCATCTTATCCTGAAATTAAAAACCAGAACCAACCAAAAATAGATTCGTCGCAAAAATCTCTCTAAGCTGTTTTTAACAAGTCTTTACATGGCATTTTCTTAGCTTTTTAGGTAGCATTCTGAGAACTAAAACCAACGTTGAAATGAAAACTAACTTTTCCTTTACGAAAAGCATAATTCTGAAGAAGGAATTTAAAGAGGATTTAATTTGTACAAGGAATTTGAATATTTAAGATTTATTGCTGCAAAAGATGGCATTCCTAATTCTCAAAGGATTAATGATTAAGTTCAAAATTTAAAACAGATAAAGAAAAATTGCCAGTTTTAATTGCTTGGTCGGAATGGCTTATCTTTCTTCATCCAGATCTATATTCAGTTGCACTGAATGAAGTTTTCAAGAAAAGTTAATGATGACCCTTTTAAAGATATTAAAGTGTAGAGATATGTAAAAACATGGAATTATTTGCAAAATACGAAAAGAAATTTAATTATCATAGCTCGTGGTAAAAAATACTATACAATGACAAGAGAAGACGACTCGTTCATTCGTGCCAGAATAGGCTACATCCAGCCAAAGCATGTCACAAAGTTGGAATCATATTTGTTCATTTATATTCTGTGTAGTTGTGACCTTTTAGCAAGATAGGAACAACCATAACGCAAAATATCACAACTGAACAGGAAATAAACCTAACAACTTCATAAAACTGAAAATGATCTGGAAATGAAAGAGCATCAAAATTAACAACAGGATTCATCTTATCAATTAGCAACAAGATTCGTCTGATCCAAGCCCTTGCCACATCAGTTGTTATTGTGGGTGTGAATCATGGACACTCGCTGAAAATGTCAGAAAAAGGATTGCAGCATTTGAAATTAAAGTGCACAGATAGATTTCCAATATCTCCCGGAAAGACGAAAAACAAATGATTAAACGTGAGGAGAGATAAAGAGAGACTATCGGGCAACAGTTATGTGGAAAGGATACTGTCGATCATTGAAAGAAGGAAACTGAAGTTCTTCGGACACCAAGTCATAGCGGCATATTGATGAAAAAGATCATATAGCAAAAGGGTGAAGGATAAAAAATGCGGAAGACAAAAAAGAATCTGGGGGAGACGATGTGAAAGAATGGACTGGCTGTGGCCTTCGTCAGCTCGGCCACAAGACAGAAGAACTGGAAGAGTAGAGAAGCAATGTGAGATCATGGGTGAACCAACAGCCAATGGGACTACGGACATGATGGTGATCATACAATCACTGTCATAGCAGTTCAACGAAACGAGAATTTTGCTTGATAATAAACGATCGTCTTGTTTTAAATGAGTGTTTCCCTAAGTTAATGATCTTTAAAAATTAAAATCAGCTCTTACAAATAAAAAGATCAATAATAGTCTTGTCTTATACTTTTTAGTACTGACGCTACTCAGTTAGAAAATCCTTAATCTTAAGCCTCATTAATCTTTATTGGTTAGCAAATATTTTCATAGCCCAATTTATTATACTGACCTTAAAAAATCCTGAATTTTATACTAAACCTAATAATATGTGTAAGCAATGCATAAAATATCTACCTACTGTCTTATAGCATTCTTTTTTAATACTGCCTATATCTTTACATCATAGAAAGAAGGGCTCCCCCAAATTGATGGCTCATTAGAATAGGTAAATCATTTACATGTAGAAATCGCACTAGCTAAAAGGCTACCGTCCTTGAGAAAAGCAATTCAATGCAGGTTGAATCAAATTCAAAAAGAAAAAACAAATTTCCTACTAAAAGTTTTGTGCCATGGGTGCATTTACATTCTTGCCAAATTTTTTTTGTCATCTCAAAGCTCGTCAAAATGTATGTCGATTATCAAAGTAAATGAACAATGTCAAATAAATAAAACTAAACAATATTGAATTTTCAGAACCAATACTTTCAATGGAGACCATAAGCACAATATTCATCGTTCCTAAAAGATGAAGTACTTTATTCAAGATTGGTCACCAACTGAGTGTGTAGATTTAATTCAGAGGCGCCTTTTTTCTAAACTTCGGATACAGGACAATGTCTAGCAAAGCTCTCCAGCTTTTGATCATGCCAAAAGGATGAAAGTAATTTCTAATGACATTGCGAAGTAACTATTCAACTAAAATTATTGTTTTTGAATTCTTTTCCAAAATGCAAAATCTTTTGATCCCTCTAAGGTATTGCAATTCCTTTATTTGCCTTTACTCATCCTAATAGCTTTGTTACTTTACCAAGCAAAATTTAAAGAAAGAGATTTTAAGAATTCTATCTTCATTTGGGTTTAAAAGAAATCCGATGTCTTATAACCATCACATGTTCATCTTTCATTTATTAAAAAATAACTCTACAACAAAGTTTTGTAGATAATTATGATAGAAATCTTAAAAAGAAGTCGCCTTCACATTAATTGAGAAAAGTAAAGAAATCGCTTGATTTTGAATAAAGAATGAAGTAAAATACCAATAAGCTAAATAATTATTTCTGAAAAGAATGCAAAACTAGAAACTTTTTCATTAGAACTCTGCAGGCAAAACCTACCAAGGTGACTCCAAGCCAAAGTCAGTGCAATGTGTTTTTACACATGTAATTAGAAAAACTGTGGCCGCTTCTCTAATTCGTTCGTGGTACTCTCGGACAAAAAATCTTTTAAAATGGGCTTAAAGAATTAAAATCGCATTATAGAAGAGTTGAATATAGAATTGCATTGAATACAAAACTTGTAAAAGTAAAAGTGTTGACAACGTAAAGCAGTGAAGTAAAATTTGACAAAGCTATATTTCCTGGGCAAAGCTACGATGAATTCAGGTTGATCTTAGATAGTATTTAGTAAAAAGTTGGCATACTTGATGTATAAAATTTTGACGTTTCGGTGCAGATAAACATCGTTCGCTATCTTTCCAAAATTATAACATCTCTACATCAACACCGCTTCAAAAAATTATTTGTCAAGTACTAATGAAGGCAAAATATAATAATTGCATGCCCGTAACATTTGCCTTGCATTCACCATCAAAATCACAGTCGAATCCTCATAATGGCACAAACAGAACGGTCCCTACTGAAACTCTATCTGGGCGTTTTAATTTGGTAACTGGTGATCAAGTTTAGCAGTTCCCAAAAAATTTGTCACACGTATTTATCTCAAATATAAGCAACTGCGAAGATTAATGTCTTAAAGGAAAATGATATGTGACTGATAACTAGTTGCTCTCAAAAAAAAATTTCCCCTGCGTGTGTATTCTCATTCAGTGATGCAACTGAGCTCATCCGAGAGATCTATGAAAAAACCCTTTATATGTTAACTTTTTATAACCTTTTTACTAAGATATAATCCTAACTATAGATAAAATTTGTACAAAAACAAAGTGAACAGGAGTTCCTGCTCTGCTACACTATGATTTTATCACACTATGTTGTCTAAAACTGTACTTTTTAGAGAATGAAAAGATCTAGTTACGTTTTTCATATTTTTGTAGGTTATAGGTTTGTCTAGAAGGTCGATAAAGTAAAAAGGACAAAAAGGAACACATTGTGAAAAAACTGTTAACATTTCTATCATTAGTTGCCAATGACTCTATAAATACAAAAGATGTTTGATCAAAATGTTCTATTTAATCAAATTGAAGTGGTGCTTTCTTGAAGAATCTTTGGGTTTCATAATTACATTAATGGGCAAATTACATGTAAACATTTGATTTTATGCAACAGATGACGTGTTGTTGTCAGCAAAGAGAAATCATGGCCAAGATTGGTTTAAAAAATACCCTACATCAGTAATTTTTGTAAAATAATCCCTTTTTCTAAGTTTCAATGTCCAATGTTCCAAATTCTAAGTTTAAGGGAAAAACCAAACCTTTCTCAGAGGTTTTCTGGATGAGCTTGGGTTCTACTCTGAATGAGAGTGGACACGCCGCGAAGTTTTCCTGCAATCAAGCAAACACGCAGACATGCAAACACGCAAACAAGCAGGAAAGCAAGCAAGCAAGCCAGCAAGCGACCAAGCAAGCAGCCAAGCAAGCAAGCAAACAAGCAAACAAGCAAACAAGCAAATAAGCACGCTAATAAATATACAAATGCCCAGAGTGGCATTTGCAAATTATTTTATTTTTAATCAATTTTTATTACTACACAGTTAATTTTTAGCCATAGCTAGTGTATTTTTGCAGTGGCTCATCTTATGTTTGCACTTAGAAGGGTAAATAATTTAATATGAACGAAGGTGGTAAAGAATTGACAGTATAATAACACCTTTTTAAAATAAAACACTGCAATCCCCAATAGCGATTTTGGTATGCTTAAACCTCTCCAGTTGACCCATGTCCACAAATGATTAAAAATCTTTGCACAAAAAAGAAGACTATGGTACGTAAACTTTAAAATCCCCTGTCATTATAGGAAGGAAATGCCAAGCAGTATCGTCAGTACATATTACATTTGAATATTTACTAATCTTTTGTCTCTGAAAGCAATAAGCTTTTTCATTTACCCTGAAATAACTATTAATGACAAAGAGCAATATTTGGATATACAAATATTTATCTAAAGAACTGGTATTTTAGGAGCTTCAAGTACTTTGTAATTCATATCCTTAGTCTTATTCATTATTCCATTTATCTGTACATGTTAAGAGATTAAGGTGTTGATTCACTGTGGAAGCATTTCTCAATGTCAGGTTGAGAAATACTTTGGCACATTAAGGCTTTTAGCTTATACAACTTATTACGTTTAGTTTATAAATGTTAAGAGAAATGATGCAACGAAGTTAACAAAATAACAAACTTTAGGGCATGCCCGTAAAATAGGATAATGAGAGTGTTTGTTCTGTTTTGCCATAAAAATGATAGTTACTTTACTTGCTCTGAGTCTGATCAATCAATTCTAAGAAGAAGTTTCTTCCCCTTTAGACAACGGTCCTTGCAAAAAGAGAAGAGAGGAAGAGAATAGAGCCTTTTTCTGGGTTATCCCCTTTAGCCTCCTCCACATTCTTATGCACGAACCGTTCACCAAGGGAAAGAAAATCAACTGAGCGAGCCTAGCTGACCACAAAATGCAATGTTGCGAAAAAGCCATGGGGAATTTGTCAATTATATTTCAAGCTTAATTTGAATACCAGCAGTCAAAAAAGAAAAATGAATGCAAATTCTGGCATTAATCTCTCCCGTTTCATTTTATTCAACTCTCTCTTTCCTTTATAAACAAGACGACAAGAACCTTTCAAAGAGCGAAGACAGCCATGCCATGACATATCGTTTAAATCTTTTGCCTTCACCATTATCTTGAAACTGAATTTTAAAAAGTGAAAAATTACATCTTTCACGTTGATGAAACACTATAATCTACTTACTAACAAACAAACTACACAAATATATTGCGTCAAACAAAATTATCACTAAGATACTTTTCATCGTCTTTTAACACTATCATTGGCACTATCACAATAGCAAAACAACAAGATTTCCTTGCAGTTTTTCTAATACTGAAAGATGCGCAAATTATTGGCGTGAACAGAGATGTCTAAACGCAAAAACAATCAGAGTCATCATTACTCGGCTCAATAGGTAGAGGAACGGTAATAACTCGGTAATTAGGGAGGAGAGTCTGTCGTGACTTGGTTACGATGAAGGAGAATCGGTCCTGATCCGGTTATGGTAGTGCAGACGAGTCGGTCTTTCCCACTGATCTAAAAAAGGCTGGATCTAGCTTCTCCAGCCCAGCGTTTCTTCCACATTGCAGCACCCATGTTAGGACCTCGTTGTGTTGCTTGATAATAGAGAGAATTCATGTTGGTTTTATCTTAATTTGCTGGTCCATAGCAAAATTCAAAATAGCCTTTGAAACAAGAATTTGCGGCTTTCGTAAGTGACTTTAAAAAGTATTGCCATGGTATTTAGTTTATGTGAAAGAGAATCCATTGTTCCCTTAAATTTCCTAGGCCTGTTGCATCTTGGATTATTTAAGGATCCAATGATTAATGCACAATAAAAAGCTCATCACTGTATGTGTACAGTTTTTGCCCATGGCAGCCCTAAGCTTTAGGCGCGAGAGGTCTCAACATGGAGAGATTCGATCACTTCCTCATGCTTATGTAGGAGAACAATAGGTTGTTCCATCCACCAGTCTTTTTTGAGATCAGTGGTCTTTCATGATTCGGTGATGACGGAATAGAATCGGTCCTGATTAGTATATTACGAACGAGTGTCGGCCTCGATTCGTACTAACAGTAAAGCTTTGTCTTCAAGCCATCGTTAATCTGAAAGTCTCAAGTGAGACATATCCCCCCCCCCCCGTGCCCCAACGAAAAATTCCTATTTGCGCCCCTAGAAACATCTTCCATTTAAGACCTACACACACTAATATTTAATGACAAATGTATTAGGCTACCATAAAAAATTTATTCTGATGATAAATTAGAATTAATTGCACTCTAAATAAACTGAACAGGTCTCATTTCCCTGCTTCTGGTTAATATTTTAGCTATGTCCTCTAAACTAGATTTCCACAATAGCAAGATGTTGCTATCTCGCTCTAATAAAAAGAGAATAAGGCAGAAAGCAGGATTACATTGAGTGAGTTCATACTGTATTTTTGCCTTGAATACTACCCAACGACAGGGGTGATAGAAGCTGGCCCGCTGCACTAATAGATAAGCGAAAATCCAAGTTCAAAGTCACATTCTGTCATCTATTTGAAGTAACAGGCAAAGAATCTAGGAAAATTTAAATCCCTTACAGCCTGAAATTTTTGCAATATATTTTCTTCGTCTCTTGTAATAAATCTTATCATTGACGTTTGAAATAAACAAACTTAAGCCAATTCAGAGATTAACATGATTACATCTGTATACCTAAACAGGATTTTCACGAAAAGAAATATTGTGAACACTATTCTCGTCGAATAATTCATAATAATTAGACTGCGAAACCTCAACAGTGTAGAAATAAGCTTGTGATTTGAGTCTTTTTCAAAATAAATGGAGAATGAATAGCGTCATGAACTAATAATTCAAGGTTTTTGACTAATGCTTTGTTTCTCAGAGAGCAAGGATTAACAAACCTTGCGATCACAGGCAATCATCATTTCTTTCGTAAAATATCAACGGTTTTATAACATCGAGATTAGCACATTGAAAACCTCTTAAACGTGCCATTTATTTTGCCGTATTTCTCACTAGCATCATAGGTTGCCACAGCCACTATAAGTATATTTAGTACAGAACCTTGTGAAAAGAGCTACGAATCTACTGGAAAATCTTTAAAACGATGGGGCAGAAAAAAGACAGATTGTAAAATATGATCCTTCCCAAATAAAAATGGTTGAAACGGGCGACTTTGTGCTGTTTCAAGGTATCAACCAGTATCACCGCAATCCATTGGACAAATAGACTAATTATTACCCTCTACAATAGAGTCTCTGCACCATCCCTTGCACACCATGGACAACAACCCTTTGACATCACCTTTAAGATACACTACAGGTCACCAATGATTCAATTCCTAGTTAACAGCAGCAACAACAACAGTACTATCTACATCATTATCACACGTTTCCTGTCCAGTGTGGTACAAAGTCATTGTCGGTCTTTCCTCGGGAACATCTTTGCTTAAAATTGAAGCAAGTGGCTTTCTTCCATAGCTGTCACTCTCGTCTCCTAATGTCGATTCATCTTCATCAAGATATTGGCAAACCTCGCCATCACTATTAGACTTAACTGTTTTCATTTCTTTTCTCCATTTTGCACGGCGATTCTTAAACCATATCTATCAAATAAAAAAATTATAGTTTTAAGATATCTTATGGATGCAAGTTCAATAGGTTATACAAAAGTTGCAACTAAACTAACATAATATACCAAAATCAGGCCCTTTCTCTTAAATTATCTCTAAATTCATATTGCAAAACGCTATATTGATTTGTATCATCGAAGGCATTGATGGCACATGAAACGCGAGAATTTCTAGAATCAGCTATTCTAATCTAGACAGAATTTTTTCATTCTTTCTATCCACAACTGGGTAACATATCCTTGTTTTCAAAGACATATTATTTTTACATCACCCTTTTATAAAGATATGCATCCTTATAGTTGTTGACTTTGTACGGTACCAAGCATAATATTTTCTCTTAAGCTATAGGTTTAAGTGTTATGTACTACAAAAAAGGCCGTTCGATATCGTGAATGACCATAGTTTTTATTCAGGCTTATGAGGAAATTTATTTTGCTGTTTTGTACTTTTAGTCTGCAAAAGCTAGTTGCAGTCTCTTGACAAAAATTCAGAAGCTATTTTAGCCGGAATTTAAAAAGGTTAAAAATTGTCCTAAGTCTGACCTCGACATTTTCTGTCCTTATTCCTAAGCGTTTTGCGATAGAACCTTTCTCATCGACGTCCAGGTAGTGCTTGATTTTAAAAACTTCTTCAAGCTCCTCGATTTGATCGTGTGTGTAAACTGTGCGATTTCTTCTCCTTCGGAGATGCGGCAATCCTCTGGCTACCATTTTGAGCTGCAGTTCCGCTGGCATTTGTTGCACGATTGTGGATGATCTGGGTTTGTTTGGCTCACTCGACGTATGAGATGGTGGGCGACTGCTAAGTTTTGGGCTTGCTGGTGGCTTCTGTGGGCTGCACCTTGATGACACAGGAGACCTTTCTCTTTGCGAATGACGAAATACGCTGTAACAGGGACAGCATGGGCAGCAACATCTTTGATATGCTAGAGTAATCAACATGGTGATTTCAATTACATCATATAGTAAAGATCATTTTTTAAGATAAACTTCCACAGAAGAAAATTTAAGAAAACTGCAAAAACTTTAAAATGCAAAATGTAAAAATGCAGGTAAATGAAAACAAAATTAAGTCTATAGCGCTTTATGTACCATTCTGAACTTTGCAACCATTGGTTTCTAAATTTCTACATTTCTTCTAACAGACTTTGAATTCTGTTAGTATACGTGCTCTAGGTATTGGCGATTCTTTCCTTGTACATAATTTGATATGACAGTTATTTTAATTTAGTTTGAGCTTTCTAAATCAATAAAAATAAAGAAAATACGAAAACTGTATCCTCCGACTTTTTCTGCCAGTAAAATGAAAGTTCGTATTGTTAAAGTTGACAGTAATTGTCAAAAGCTCTGTTTTAATTTAAAATTTCTATCCCATCCAGCGATTTAGTACCATCCGAGTCAAATAATACCATATATGATAATAAAATTAAAAACACTTCAAAACAAACTTGTTCATCAACTATATACCTTATTAGGTCTCTTTCGGCGTATCAAAGCTGATTCTGGTGCACCAAAGTTGATTCCGGTGCACCAGAGTTTGTTTTGGCGCACCAAAGTTGATTCTGGTAAACACCCTTGACAGGATTGTCTGTGTCTAGCAATAACTATTATGTAATCTATTCCGTGAATTATATTCTTATTTTATAATTGTAATAAATTAATATTTAACTAAACAATCCTGCCAATCCAAATTGTGATCTTGAGAATGTTTTGTTTCGCTAAGGTCCTAACTTTCCAGCCCCTTGTTTTACAAAATAATGACGTCAAAAACTCTATTGACACACCATCCTCTTAACTTCATACTTCCCCAATCTTGTGATGCTCAACTGGTTTCAATTAAACAAGGAATCTTCTTTTAATACAGACAAATTACATACAAAGTTACTTGATGTTTCTCTTTTCAAAAGCGCAATTCAGGCCAGTTATATCCTCTTAATACGACAAAACTTCCTTTGATGTGAATTGCACTCTCCGAGCAAAAGCTAAATATCTTCGATGTAATAGTTTTTAAAATGGAACTCAAAGATATCGAAATAAAGTAATTTTCAACTACCCAGACACATAATGCTCGCTAATCAGGCGAAATCCGAAGATAAATGTTAATAGTAGGAAAGTTCGGCTTGTCGGTTCTTTTAACTTTATCCGCGGTTGAAAAATTCCCGGCTACGCGCATATCCTTGCAGCAAATTTCATACCACTGGTGAATTGGAGTTAAAATAAATCAATTTTTAAGGGATAGAATGAAAGCGCATTGGCTGAATAATCGCCTTGGGTATACTAAGAAATCGAATTTCTTGCAAGAGATTGACTAATTACTTTAGATCTAGGATTTTTAAAGAAGGTATATTTTTTTCGTGACGTCACTAACACTGCAAAACCGACAAATGCTAAGCCACATAACCAGGAACAGGCGAGTATAGTTGATGTTAAAAGAATCTGCCAAATGGTGCTGTTGGTGTAGGGTAAAACATGATCTTTGTACAATATTTGAATCATTAAGTACCCTATGCTGACAATCCGTTCCACGGAAGACTTTTATCGTACAAAAGCTTGGTATATCATCTATTCATGTGACAATTTTTGTAATCCAATCAAAATCTGAATATAAGAATTACGAGCTATGCCACTTACAAGAAAACACCCTACAATATCATTGGGACTATACCCCATTAACATAAAAAGGAACGTTTTCTAGAGATATTTAGAGAAAATAAGTTTCAAAATATAACTGTCTGTTCCACATCAGCAAAAAACCAATTTGAATAATTTCCAGTGAATAAACAAATTATAATCATTATTCGTTAACGAAGCTGAAACTGAAAGGAAATTGTTAGGGAAGGTCAAACAGATGGAAAATATTGATTATAACCAATTGCTACGTGCCTAAAGTCTATTAGCGCAGTATAAACAAAAAAAAGCATTCATACAGTAACTCAATACGAGTTTTGTTTGTCCCGTTCATGAATATTAGATGCATCATTTATTTTATATACGTGAATCCTAGGCCAGAAATGCATTTTATTACTGTCTTCGTTGCTTTAAGACATTCCTAACAAACTCGAGTAGACATTATTTTAATTCAATACTAGTAAATTGAAGGATTTTTGAAACCCTTGACCCTTTTAAACCTTATCAATGAAGTAGGCTAAATAAGATCAATACTGAACACCGCTTAAGCTTTTAATCAAGCTATTTAGAAAATAATATACGAAGTCGTAAAAATTACTTTTGGAATAGCAATGGCGCCTGTTTTCACCAGATATTTTACTAGCCTCAATGAAGGACAACCTCGTAATTGAAACTTGCTTCATGATCATGACAGAGGTTAAGCGATAAAAAGCCTTGAGAGGTATAGCTGTGCTGATTACCAGAACAGTGTCATCAGTTTTAAAGACTCATTGCCAATAATGAGCCATTGCGCTACGTAAGCATCCCATAATGCATTTTTAGACTGTCTAAAATCAATTTTGGTTAATCGGTAGAAGATAACTGCCATTGTTTGGACCGTCGCCACGCTCGCAAAGGATCATTGTTAGCAATGAGTCTTTAAATTGCAAGTTTTCACTAGCAAGTGATCAAAAACCTAAAGAAGATGGGTGCATATAGAGCAGAAATTATCTTTAATAAATTTGAGTTCGTGAGCATTAATTTAGATGTACATAACTACGGATAATGGTCTCCCGGATCCTGCCAAAGAATCGGTTAAGGAAATAAAAATGAGATTAAAAAGCTTGGTTTTTTCAAGGCTTCTTCTGCTTAATTTGCTTGCTATCATATGTTTGTCTCTCTACTTGAATCTGAATTTCCAACGCATCCTGATTCGTGTTTTAAATCGCATTGCTTAAATTTCATTTAAAAATTTCTTGATCTAAATTCTCTGTCTATGCTACTAAAGTGGAGCAAGAGTTACGCATCAGTATTTTTGCTAGCATTGATTCATTAATACAATGATACGACAATTAACCGCCCCTTTCAGTAACTGACACCATTAAAACACATTTTCTTTCATTTAATCAAATCCTTGCATAACAGCCATCTCTCGTCAAAAGGGAGTGGTTTTCTTGCCTCACGGGTGCCTGCTAAGGGAGGCTTTAGCACATAAAAAGCTAATCTTTTCACAAATATACGTTTCAGTGTTTATTCCATACATGCTGGTCGTGGCAAAAATTCAACTCTTTAAAATATTTTATCGCTAAGATTACCGATCACAGACTAAACTAAAGCATCTTAATCCACTTTTCAACGCGCTTTAAAAATAAAACCAAAACAAAACTGTTCGAACCCTATGTAAGTTACCGTCAATAGCCTTTCATATCACAAAGTCCTGGGACCTATTCTTTCATTACGAGCTAAAGTATCTTTGCAACACTGTCAAAATACGCTTGGAACAATCACTTATCTACAATTGGCTGAACTGATAGAAGCTTCACTCCACGTTTAGAACTCCAGACTATCCAAACGTAAATAAGATTTCCTGTATTAAAGGTAAGATCTTAAAATCCCTATGTTCTTATTTTCAATATTATCTCTGTTGCTATCAGAGAAATATTTACATTCATATTACATCCAATCATTGATTTATTTGTTTGCTAATTCAACTCTCAGGTCGATCCATCATTTGATAACTCAAACCTATTTTTGACCATTCAAAAAAGCTTCTTTGTATACTGCTTGGTGCATTGGCTGAAATGCAACTAAGACGTTTGACCTAATCGGCATGCGAGTAAAGTGTGCTTCTTGTTGTGTTAACCAATATTATTTTAGAGGTCATCTTAGAGTGAATGGTAACATCTTCAAGCTCAGATTTAAATTTTCGCATTAAAGCTTATCCTTTCTGAAACAGCAAGAAAATTATAATTTCTACAGGGGATGTAAGAAGTTAATTTGAAGTTGGGGGGATTCTGGCAGAAAACCCATACACAAGAAAGCATTTTTTTAATCTTATTAATCGGTTGCTTTGAATGCAGTGGGTAATACACCACACTTCGGGTCCATGCTACTGGAGTTTATTACAGATACAACAACGTATGGTAAGACTGGTACATCACTGGCAAGCCTAGACTAGATTATAGAGCTAAGGCCCACAGCCCAACAATTTTATCGCTAAGTTAAAACAAATTCAAAGCTAAAAATTGTGACATATCTGCTGACTTTCCTGTGGTCTATTTTTGTTTGTAATAATGAATGATAAAAGATAACTTTTCCAAGAAAAAATAAAAAATCGAATACTTCGATAAGATACTTCTATATCAGATTCAGCATTCATTAACGGCCTAAGCTGCCAGAGATATTGTTTGGTAGGAGTTCGTCCTACAAAAGTTCAAAATGTTTAGCTTACACCTATCTGCTTAGAAGATTTTCCGTAAATATTAAATGGCATGTCTACGTCGCTCTTTAACAGCGACGTACATTGCTTTTGTATATCTGTAGCCAAGATTCCCGTTTGAAGTTTTTAGCACATCTTGCTGAAAAGGAAGCATTAGCGATGGTGGAAGTATGTTATCTATTCATATTCAGGGGCGCGGGTTGCCAGGGGGTAGATTCATCAACTTTTCGGAAATCCGCAGTATTATTCACACTTTTATTTCACAGTTCAATTTGCATTTGCTCTAACTTGTTTCAGTTATTTAATGGCTTTCATCGGCAACTGCTAAGTGTTTTCCAACCTTTAATATCTGCCTCACTGATTTTCTGTTTTTGTCATTGCTTTTTCCTTAGATTGCATAGACAAAGAGGGTAAAGGGTCAATTGAAAGCTAGGGTTTCCATCTAGTGGGGAGAAGGTAAGAATGAAATTAGAGACAGCTTATTGTTCAAAGTCTCTTTCCAAGTGTGAATCGCGGTATTCCTATGATAAAGCATTTCTAGCTCGACCCAAGTTAGTTGAGCAGCAGCATATATGTACAAGTTTTTGTTTAGATATCAAC